GGTCAGCCCCTGCGGGGTCAGCACTTGGGGGTCAGCACCTGCGGGGTCAGCCCCCGGGGGTCAGCACCTGGGGCTCAGCACCTGCGGGTCAGCCCCTGCGGGGTCAGCACTTGGGGGTCAGCACCTGCGGGGTCAGCCCCCGGGGGTCAGCCCCTGGGGGTCAGCCCCCGGGGGTCAGCCCCTGCGGGGTCAGCCCCTGGGGGTCAGCACCTGCAGGGTCAGCCCCTGCGGGGTCAGCCCCTGGGGGTCAGCACCTGCGGGGTCAGCACCTGCGGGGTCAGCCCCTGCGGGGTCAGCACCTGCAGAGTCAGCCCCCGGGGGTCAGCACCTGGGGGTCCGGCGCCCCAGCCCTCACCTTGATGCAGTGGTACGTGGCGTTGGTTGCACAGACCAGGTTCTTGTTGGGCCAGCCGTCCAGGTCAGAGTCCTCCCCACAGATGAGCCCGTCACCCGCGTAGCCCGTCTGGCACTCACACTTGTACATGGGGTCGCTGAAATGCCCCAGGTAGATGCATTCCGCGTGCCTGTGGCAGGTGTGGGTCTTGTCCTTGCATGGGTTTTCAGGCTCACACACCTGCGGGAAAAGGGCCACGTGGTGAGGACACACGGAGACTCCACCCCGCATGTGCAGGGTCTGAGGTGGGCGCTCGGGGACAAGCGCAGGGGTGCAGGGCCCCCCTCGGTGCTGCAGGGACAGCAGGTGCCGGGCAGGCACCCAGAGACTCGGAGCGATGCTCTCTGGGGGTGTTTCCCAGCGGCAAGACGTCTGAGCCCACAGGTGACCGTGGGCTGTCCTCGGGCTCCTTGCAGGAAAGCTCCGCTCCCCCCACCCCCCCGCTGGTCCTGTCGGGGTGGTGAACAGGCTCCCACAGCCCTCCGCCTGCCCCAGGGAGGCCGCCCGTTCTCCTCCACACCCCCTCTGCCCAGTGCCCTGGGCTCTTGCCGACGGATTTACAGCCTTTGCGCAGCACACATGGGCCCGGGCTGCTCACCTGCTTCTCGGTCCTGGCCGCCTCCAGGCCAACGCCGAAGGGCTGGGTCCCTTTGTAACGAGGGGGGCACGGCAGGCAGTGGAAGCCCGGGTTAGTGTTGACGCAGCGGTGGGCTTTGCTCGTGGCGAAGCAGACGTCCGTGACCACAGTGCACTGCGGGATGAGCAGGCGTGAGCCCCGCCCCCGTCTCCGCGGGCGCCCCTCCCCCGGGGCGGGCACCCACCTCGTCCAGGTCCTCACAGTGCATGCCGTTGCCCAGGAAGCCCACGGGGCAGGCGCCGCAGGACCAGGAGCCGTCGGGGAAGCTGCTGCACTGGGCCCCGGGAAAGCAGGGGTTGGACAAGCAGCCGTCTGCGTGGGAGGACGCAGGCGGTTAGCTGGGGCTCGCGATCCCCGAGCCATGTGCGGAAGGACGCCCCGAGGGGCTCAGCTGCAGGAAACTGAGCTACTCAGGGAGGCCGGGGGCGCCCTGCAGAGTCACACCTCCAAGACTAGATCCTGGACGGTACAAACACGGAGGCTACACGGGCACGATGGCTGTCATCACGCCAACGCTCCCTCTGCACCGTGCGCGTCCCGTGTTCACATAGGAACGCTGACGAGCGCGGCGGCAGAGCGTCAGGGTCAGGGCGCGAGCCGATCTTTCTTTTCTGTCTTCCTACTCTTCCGCCCTTGGTTTTTCTGCTTGTATGCCTGCCCCCGCCCGCACACCCACCTATGGGGCAGCTCCTCTTATTGCACATCTGATGCTCCTTGACGTCCCCCACGCAGTCCTTGCCGCTGTGCTGCGGTGCGGGGCTGTTGCAGACGCGCGTCCGCTCCCGGATCCCGCCGGCACACGTGACGGTGCAGGCTGACCACGGGGACCAGGGGCTCCACCGGCCGTCGACTGCAAGCAGAGAGCACAGAGCGTCAGTGGGGAAGGCGACCTACGCGGGAAGAGCCGGGTGCCGCGTGGGCTCCACACAGGGCTGGAAACTCGGGAAGAGCGTGTGCCGAGGCCCTAAGCTCAGGGGTAGTGCAGACGGCGGATTTCGTTAGGGTGGTTTTCACCTCTGGGAAGAGAAATCACACGGGCGCTGGGAGTGGAAGCTGACGGCCGGCAGGGCCCTGCGGTGCAGGGGCGCCTAGTCAGGGAAGAGCTCCCGTTCATTTTAATGGACAGCTTAAAAGCGAGAGGAAGCTCCCTGCAGTCTCCTTTCCGAGGGCTGTCGTGCAGGGCATGAATGGGGCTTCTGGAAGGTCTCTGGGCACCTGCCCCCCGGTCTAGCTGCGCAGCAAGCCGTCCCCTGAGACCCACTGTTCTGGGCCATCCACAGGGCCCCCAGAAAAGAGCACGCGGAAACAGCTCCCACGGTTCTGGCTGATGTTCCCTTAATCGTGGATGAGCTCAGGCAAGGTCAGAGCCCGCAAGCGATCGGATTCACCCCAAAGCCCGCTTCCAGCAAGGAGCCAGCCAGAGTTCGGTGGCGCCTCGAGGGCTCCATCCCGGTCCCGATGCTGCCGGGCAGGGGTGGCCTGGTCCTGGAGCCCGGGTCCCCACTGTCTCGAGCGCCCGCTCCCGCCCTGCCTCACCCCACCTACTTGGACATGGGGCGCCCTGGCAGCCCTTCGTCTCGCGGCCACTCCCTTTGCAGTTCTTGCCCCCCATTTGGGGGACCGGCGAGTTACAGAGCCGGATGCGCGTGATGTTGCCGATGCCGCAGGTCACTGAGCAGGACGACCAAGGTGACCAGTGGCTCCAGCCCCCGTCCTGCCGGACTAGCACACGGACAAGGACAAGGATGTCAGGGCGGCTGCTGCCCCGGCGTTCGCTCACGCACAGCGGTGGGGGCGGGGAGCACTAGCAGGGGAAGGAGCCTCACCCCGCAGGAGCCCCCGGTCAAGCCTGAGGGGCCCCAGAAACGCAGCCTGTCCCCACAGGCCCCCAGACCCAAAGGCTGGCGACGCCGACCCCGCCCCCCGGCCCCACGCCCGACACTCACTGCGATTGTCACACTTGCCCAGGCTGCACGCCCGCGTCTGGATGGACGGCCCCAGGCAGGTGTTGCTGGTGACGTCACAGGACCGCCCTCTCTGCTGGGTGCCCAAGTCACAGCTGGTGGAGCACTCGGTCCACTCTGCCCAGGGGGACCAGCCCTCCTCGCTGTCCAGCGCTGCGGGCGAAGCACAGGCCTGTCAAGCCTCCGCCCAGGGTGGCCGCGGGACGGGCCGGCCCGGGAAGGGCCCGCGAGGCAGAAGCCGTGTGCTGGGGAAGGCGGGCGTGCGGAGTGCACCCTCCCCCGAGCCGGGCGCCCGGTGGGGCTCACCCCAGTGACCCGACGTCCACACCTGGGTCGGCGCTCAGGGCTGCCTTCCCGGGCGGGATGGAGGGGCACATGGGGATGCCCGCAGAGCACCACAGAGACCACGGGGTCCACCATCTGCGTGCTGAGCCCCACCCATCACCCGTGTCAGGGAAGGGGGCGGCCTACACATGTCTTAGGGTGGTTCACAGGAGAGAATCCAGAATCATGTCTACACGGGGCTTTATGGGACTTACTAAGATTTAGTTTGCTTCCATTTTAACCTCCACTGCTGAGTTACATATGATAAGGAAATGTTCCAATTTGCTTGAAATTACAGGTCACCAAACTTAGCCCCAAATAATTTAAATCGGGACCAGTTAAATGAAAAGGCAATTTCCTGCAAAGAAAGTCTTCCGAGTGAATTACAATCTGTAAGTAAGAGAAAGACAGTAACCTCCTGCGAGAGATCTGGCTGGTGAGTGCAAAACGCACTGCTTCCCCGCGGTTGTGCCTGGCGAGGATTAAACGTCCCAGAAAGCAGGAAACCAGACGAGAATAAGGCCACAGAGCCCGCTCTCCACAGCGTGGAGCGCCTCCCTCTAGTCAGACGTGGGCCCTGCCTCTCGGGGTCGTGTTGTCGTCTCTCGCCGCGCTCTAAGGCGCGTCAAGCACTCACACGGACACGGTCTACTTTAATATTGTCCGTTTTAACCATAAAACTAACCCCGTGTAGTGGGCAGATTGCAGCTCTCCTGCTCCCGAGTGCGAGGCCCCAGGCCGGTGGCGGGTCTGCAGGTAGAGCCTCAGGCTCAGAGCAGGAGAGCAGGCGGCGCCCCGAGCTCCGTGTGCACTTACAGCGCAAGCAGGACGGACAGCACTCTCCTTCCACAAAGGATGGGCTGGCGCAGGGGGCCGGGGGGCAGGTGATTTGGTGGCAAATGGTTTTAAATTTCTGCAGGCAGAGAAAGGGGTCCGTGTAACACTCCTTTAAAAGAACAAGCATTGGCGCGAGCGCTGCATGGGAAGGGCCAGGAGGATGGCTGTGTCCGTCCTGGCATCACAGACACGGGAAATAAAGGCGGGCCATCCACGCACCACGGGCAGGAGGGCCAGGTCTGTGCACACTGTGGACCCCGAGGCCGCCATCAGTGGAAACGGGGACCGCTGACCAAGGGGAAGAGGCTAAGGTACCTACCATCACCATGCGGGCAGTGACCTGCACCCCCCGGACTCCCCGGTGCCGCCTGGAGTTACACACGCTGGCCGGCTCCACCCCGGCCGCCTTCCGCCCCCCGTGGGACAGTCATTCACCTCGTGGAGTTCGGTTTCCTTTGTGCAGAGCGGTGGGATTGGCTGGAGCCTTACTTACAGTCAACGCCGCCCGCACGGCCCCCACGCCGGGTCTGCTGAGGCAGCTGCACACGTTCTGCGGCTCGCCAGGGAAGACTGGGGGTGCGGCCACCCCGCGCAGGGCCCCCGAGAGGAGGAGCGTCCCCGCGCCTCACCTTGCAGGTGCACTTGGTGCAGCTGTCCACCACCCACGTCTCATTTTCCGCGAAGAACCGGCCGTCCTGCCAGCAAGCGGACATGTTCCTCGTCTTAGGCAGGCCACCGATGAGCTCCCAGAGGAACTGGTTATCGTTCGACTGGAAGGTTGAGGGGAATGTTTCAGCGTAGACGGATACAACGTACCCACTCACCATGCTCACAGACCAGAAAGAACGCGCCTCCTTGACTGCAGAGCGCCCGCGGTCTGGGCTAGAGCCGCCAGCCGTGCGGGAGGCTCTGCGTGGGCAACACAGCCGCCTGGTTGACGTGAAACCTCCCCCAAGCAGGGTCACGCGGCAGCGACCGTAGCCGGGCAGGCCTGCGGCCATCGCCTCACAGATGGTCGGGAGCTCGCGGTCGCTGCACACCTGCCCAGGGGGCTCCAGCCCTGGGGCCGACCGCACCTCGGGGCCCGGCGGCCGGCGGTGCTGGATGGGGAAGGGACCCTCCCGGCCAAGCGCCACTGAAAACGGACACCCAATTTGTGAATTCACACATTCTTCCAGAAATGACGGACCCGGTCTGAGAACGCAATGGCAAGGATGCGCACAGACCTAATTCTTGCTCTCTTGGGGCTACAGACTGGAAGAATGATCAGGTTTTGAACAAAATCAAGTAAGTGAAAGTGAAACACCCGACAGATGTTTCTGCCGCTCCCCCCACTGATGCACTGTGGGCTCCCCCCACACGCAGGGGCTTCTGGGTGGGGTCACAGCCCCCTGAGAATCCCCAGCCTGTGACCTCGGCCTCGAGGCTGCAGACCAGCAGGGGAGGCATGGGTCCTCTCTTGCCCCAGAATGCACAGAAACACTCCGTCCATGAGGTCTCGGGGAGGTCACACGTGCCCCACCCCCGAATCCAAGCTCAGCAAACTTGTCCCAAAGCCCTTTTCATCTCCTCCTGCCTGGGTGGCTCCCGGGTCTGTGCAGCGAGGCCTCCAGCGCCCCCAGGGAAGACTCTCCCTTCGCGTGGCAAGAGTGCCCACAAGAGCAGGCCTCCTGCCTCCGAGTCCCAGCTTCCTGCCCCACGCAGGGTGGGCGTGGTTGGGACTCCTGCCCCCCTCCTGCCCCAGGGCCACATACACGCTGGAAGTTTCCAGAAGGCGCCCAGCCTTTGCCACGAGCCCCTGTAGCCGTGCACGTTGTCTCTACCACCCACAGAGTGGAAACTGAGCTGGCCCCACCCCATCCGGGGCCACGGTCGGAACGTGGCTCCGGGCCCTTTCCTGGGGGGCAGAGGGTGAGAACGGGCACCCCCCCACCACTGAGCCGCTCTCCAGGCAGGAGGAGACCCCAGACCTGCAGACCCTCCAGACCGTCCCCCCTGCCGCCTGTCTCCCTTCTCGTGGGCGCCACGATGTTCCCGTCCCGAGCCAGCAGAGAGCACATCGCGGGGGCTGGCTCCCGTCACCCGAGTCTCTGCTTTCTCCCTGATACGCTGGGCGCCTGGCGGGTACCTCCTGCCCATGTCCTTACGGCCCAGACCTCCACGGCCGGTCCTTGCCGCACCCAGACTTTCCACAAAAGCACCTCCTTCTCCCTCAGAAGTTGAATCTGCTGGGGACACGAGCGTCCCCTGCTTGAGAACCGTCCCGAGCATGTGGAGCCCGTGGGCCTCAGTGATTCAGAGTTCTCTGCCCCCCACCTGCCCATCTCCCTGCCCGGCGGCTCCGCCAAACGCCCCAGGAAGCGGCCGGCCCGCACCCACCACTTTCCGCAGGTTCTCGTGCAGCTCATTGACGATGACGTGCAGCCCCGACAGCTCGGTGATCATGGTGCCCAGCTCCTCACAGGAGTGCTCACACACCTCCGGCCTCCTGTGCGCACCTGGGTCCGCGTACTCGGGGGCCACCTGCGGGCTCAGGTGCAGAGTCTCTGTGGTCTCACTGATGGCATTGGCTTCAGCTGCGGGAAGCACAGGGACGGCGGTGAGCGCGGCCTGGCCACGCGGAGGTGGTGCCACGGAGAAGGCCGGGCCCACGCCACGTGGGCGCAAGGCCCACCCAAGAACAGCGAGTGACGGCACCGCGTCCATCACGGCCTTGCTGGTAAAACAGGACTCTGCCCACTTGGTGACACCTGCCAACAGCGCCTCGGACGGCCACCAGGCGGGCGGCAGTGATGCTCAGGAACAGGGCGGGAGCGGAAGCCCGGAGCCTGGCTACTGTCCACGCACATGGGGCGGACCTGCGCCTGCCAGGGACTCTGACGAGAGGAGGCGATCTCCTGTGACAGTCTCGTTCTTCCATCCCCACCGGATCTGCTTCCCACCACGTGTTCTCGGGAAATCCGCGGCCTCCCCGCAAGCTCCTCGCTTGCCCATTTTTCTATTCCAAACACCCTATACGTTGTCCACTTGCTCCGCATCAAGGCGGATTCAGCTGTCTTCACGCTAATCAGCGGCTTGTCAGACCTCACCAGCCCTCCCTCGCACTCACGTCCTCTCTCCGTCCACCCTGCGGCGTCCCCTGGAGGGAAGGGCAGATCCCTCAGACACTCAACCAGGGGATCCCCCTCGCTGCCCCTGTAAGCTGCACAAACTCTGGGGTCCCTGCCATGGGACGGGCTAGGACACAAACTGGAAACGGACTTGGGCCAGTCCAGAGAGAGGGGCCGTCCCCCACGGAAGCCAGACCGGCCTAGACGTGGCCGTGCCCCCCACCGCGTGAGTGTCACGGGAGTAAGATGCCCTGCATCTCTCGGCGTCTCACTGCTGAGTTACACCTTGCAAACACGATCATTCTGCTGGGCCTCTCGCTGTTGAGGTTTTATTACTCGGTCATAAATCCTTGCCCCAATCACACTGACCTTGGGAGCTCCCCCACCTTGCTGGTTGGATGGGGCACATACCCCACAAACATAAACATACCACTCACTGCACACGGGTATCAGATTAAAAACAGTGAAGCACCCACGAATGTGCCCCGCGGCCCACCACCGCCTGATTTCAGACAGACCCCAGAGCAGCTCCTCAGGACGGGACACCCTATAGTCACAGAGCCCGATCCCTCTGACGAGACGCACGGCAGGGTCGCCTGTGGGTAGACCTGGGACCCGGACTAGAGTCCCCTTCTCCTGCTATCGAGGGTGAAGGGTCTCCACACCCCACGGGGCTCAGCACCTGGAAGGGTGCTCAGCTTTCCCGTAAACACAGCACAGCCCCCTCGAGTCAGGGCACCCCGAAAACCACTCTGTTTTCTCTGAGTCTGTGGAACTTTCCCACGTGGTTAGTGTCAGATGTCCGTTTACTATCCTAGGTTTTTCTGAACTTTTTGCTTTTTAAAGACCACATTCCCCCCAAAAAAGGCAATGGCTTAAATCATAGGGACCAATAGCTGCCAAGTTAGCTGGGCTGGAGACGCAGGGGATGAGGTCTGAGCCCCAGCGGCTACTGCAAACAAGGAGCTTGTAACAGGGGCAAGCACTACCAAGCTCTCTCCACTCCACTGTCTGGCTAAAAATCACTCTCCGAATTCCTTTCCTGCCCTGTACTTCACTGACCCTCCATGGAAAATGTGCAGATGGATAGCTGCACAGCCTCTGAGGTGACCCCCGGCCGGCCGAGCGGCGATCCCAGCACCAGCAGGGCAGACACATGGGGTCCTGGCTCCTACACAGGCCAAGTGCCGCTCCCAGCTCGGGGAGTGTGGGTCACAGAGCCACCGTTGAGCATTAGACATCACATCCTCCACACTCTCCACACATTGATCGTAAGAGAACGATTTATGTGTCAGACTGTGCAGTTGACACAAAGAAGGGTCTCAATGACAATAACCCACAGGAACCTGAGCTAGGAGACCCGGTGGGTGTCCAGCCCACGGGTAGTCACACCCAGCAGCCGTGGACCCCGGAGCCCCAGCTTCTTTACTGAAAAACAAACGAGCCCATCCCAGAGGCATTTTGAAGATGCACTGACATTGAGTTTAAAGAGCCCAGCAGACTGGGCTTCATAAAGTAAATGCTCAAGAACATGTTGTCAAATTACAGCCCGAGGCAAATGCAAAAGGCAATGAACACACGACGTGAGATTATCTGTCAATGGTTCCAACAGTGTAGATGTTTTCATCAATGGGCTTGTCAACGGCTGTGAGGAGCGTGAGAAAACCCCCATGAACCTCGTGGGGCAAATATCTGTGGTGTTAGCTTATAGAGATGGTCTTCACACATTAATAGACTGGAAAATTTGCATGTATTCCTGTTAAAATGCAGGGATTGGCTTTTTGGCTTGTAAAATGGATTATTTTGGATTATTAAAATATATTCAAAATTAATCGTTCAAGCAGTTTATCATTTGCAGATGTCAGCATGTCTAAGTTGACCAGCAAACTCACTCAAAGACAATAATGGCACTTTATTAGAATACCTTTTCTTAAATCCCCACTAGCAACCCCCATGTACACACACCCATGCACACACACAGAGACACACACTCACACATGTACACACATGTATATACACAGATACACACAGACTCATGCACACTCACACATACACACACAACGCACACACATCATAGTAGAAATCCATCCAAGACAAGAAAGGAAACATGAAATATGTTATCCAAAGCACACCTACCTCCCTGACTTTGCTGACAACCTTTCTTGCTCAGAACATCTTCCGCTGAATTTTCAAACACTAAGTAGACATTCTGCAGCAAACCCTGGAAATACACATGAGGAGAGAAATAGAGCAGTGGACAAACATCAAATGTTTGAGGCTGAGCCAAGTGACATTTTGAAAATATAAGATGTGATCTTTAAATAGCAAGAGCATTTCCTTCCGTGCTTTTACGCTTGCAGGCTTGAGCTCTCTTTATCATGGGTTATCCCGCGTCCGTTACTGCTGAAGCTTTGCTCTCAGCGCGGCATAGACCCGGGATCTTACATAGGAAGACAGGGGGGTGGCCCCAAGACACGTGTGCTAATTCTGTCTTCCGAACACGTCCGGTCGGGTGCTCTGGGCTGCGCCTCCTCGGCAGGGGACTCGGCTGACTCCTGGTTTCTGGCTAACGGTCTCAGAAGTGCCCGTGGTCTAATCACAGACGTGGTCGCTCAAAGGGGAGAGTGCCTTCCACCCCGTGAGCAGTCAGCAGCTCATTCGGCAGGGCCCACAGGACCTTCCTGACGGCCACCAGAGCCTCGTTCAACGACCGGTGAGGACTCTAGCCTTCTACTCAAAGAACTGAATTTAAAGACACACTGATTTCCAAAGAAGGCAGGTCTGGAGGAGAGCAATGCCCTGATGCCCCTGTGGTTCTAAACGCTTGTGGCTGTAGAAAGATCTTCCAAAAACTACTTCAACATGAATGTATTTTAAGATGAACATGGAGCTATCCCCTCATAAATCAACAGCCCTTTTCCTAAAAAGCGTGACTGTTAATCTGCTTCCCCAGCATCTCAGTGCTAAACGGGGAGCGGGCAGTGGGTTCCACATACGGAGCCTGGGATTGCCAGACATTGATGCCTTGGTCATCAAATCTGTCTTCAGTCTGGAAACCAGTGACCGTTCGCACAGGTAAGAAAGCACACCTGGGACAACGTGCTCTGCTTATCTATGGCTGAGGCAGGCGTGCACACACACCTGGGCATATGTATGTGTGTACTGGTGTGCACACACGCGGATGCATACGGTATACACACGTGTGTGGTTGTGTGTGCGAGTGTGTACATGCGTGTGCATATGCACATGTGACGTTTCTGTGTGCCTGTCTCTGCGCGTCCGCACAGGGAGACGTGTGTCTCCCAGGCTGGGCCTGACCTGTTCCAGCAGACAGGCCCTTGCTGGTCCGCTCCCAGTTCCCATTCCCCTGCCTCACGCGTCTGCCGTGACCCTGCTGTACGTACCCTGAAGTGACTTTCTCGTGAAGAGCCCTTGGCCACATACATCCTGCTCTTTTCTGTCTGGAGCTGCTCATAGAAAGGCTCATCCAGCGTGAAGCTGTCAATCAGGTCACAGCCCACGTACAAGCTGTAGGTCTCCCCGGTCACCTGCACGGTGACGTTCTTCCACTGGGAGTCAGCCAGGCCCACGTCCTCCAGGGAGATGACGTGCTGAGTGCCGTCTATCCAGTAGGTAAGGTCCAGCGTGTCTGCTGGGCCATTGGAGACAATTTCGAATTGCCTCTGGGAGGTGCCGGGGCCCTCCAGAGCCAGGAGCGTGCCCCGGGACTTGGGGTCCTGCTTCAGGCTGGCCAAGAGAAAGAACCCCTCCTTTTGCTGCATGATCTTGGTGATCCTGCTGAGGTAATCTGCGTTCACCGGCGGAATGTAGTCAAAGCGGACGAAGCGATAGGCAGGCACACTGGGGTCAGGCCCCCGGAACTGCTTGGCCCCAATGGTCTTCCTGTTTATGTTGCTGATGCTGAAAAGGTTGAAGGCCGTGTCCTCGTCCTGGCCACTGGCTGCCGGCGCAGACAGAACAGGGAGGTTACCAGCAGGCAGGGCGAGCGGGAACCCAGGGGGGGATTTTTACATGCAGGGAGCAAACCGTGATTTCATGTGCGACTGAGTCCGTGTGGCCTGGGGTGTCCCCGGGCTCCCCTCCCTTTCTATCAGGGTGCTAATGGCAGCTTTCACGTAAAACCATTATCCTCTCTCTCCGGGCTGCTTCCCGAAGGGGGGCCCCCGAGACAGCTGCTGGTCACAGATCTTGCTTCCATCCTTGACTGTGCAGGGAGCGTGCACCAGAAGGTAAACCGAGCACATTGTCTAGATTAGCTGGCATTCTCCACAGCCAGATTTTATCGGGGGAGGAAGCACTGCCCCAAGGTGGGTTCCGCACACCTTCCAGAATCCGTCTCCTGCTCTCCCACCCAGATCCGAACCTTAGGTGGGGCCCTGTCTCTACCATTTGATCGCCCAGAAAACAAGCCTGCAAAGGAAATGGGCCTCGGTCCTTGCTATGGATGCATTACATGTTGCTTTCCTATAAAGATCATGTGACTTACGCACGTTATATTGTATCTCTTTATTTTGCAGAAGTATATTCTGCTAGACTTACTGACTCGCTCTGAGACTCTGAGACAGTGGTGGGTCTCAACTCTGCAAATCAATGGTTTTAAGTCACCATCTGAACGACTGGAAAGAAAAGTGATCGGACCGTCCCAAAATATAACAGTTTAAATAATTGAAAATAATTTACTGAACAGAAATTTTAAATGAAGCATAGCTTTCCATCTACTACGTGGCAAGTTCAAACATTATATTCACAGTGTTGCTGATCCAAGTGTGAATTCTACCACCTTTAATAGAGCCATTTGGCAATACATCAAAAATCCTTAAAATAATTCAAAACTTTGACTCAGCAATTTTACTGTTGGAACTTTTTCTAAGGATATAAACACAAATACTAGTAGAGATTTATTCACAACTGGATTCCTGGTGGCATCATTTATACTCATGATAATGAAGTAATGATGTAGATGGAGATTGGTCTAAAAATTATCAGGGTTATCTTTTGATGGAACATTATACAGTCCTTAAAGACCATGTTGTATGAAAATAAACACATGGGAAAATATTTATGATATATTTTCAAGTAGGGAAAAAGTGGGAATAAAAGAGTTCTGAAGCACCAACCACCTGCAGTCTTACAAATGCAGCATGGGAAAAAAAAAGGCTAAATGTGCACAGCAAATGTTGTGTCTCTAGGTGAAAGAGTATTTTTCTCTAATACCTAGATTTTCCAAAAATAAGTAATTTTTTATTATGTGGACTCAAAAGTAAGTAAATATTTATTGAAAAGAAAGTTCTGGATGTTCTAAGGAATGGCAGTCACGTTACCTGCTGGGGTCCGATAGCCCCCACAACCAGAGACGCTGTCCACACTCACCTTGCATGCCGGACGAGGCCCAGAGGGCGAGCAGCACCAGCGTCCAGAGCATCCTGCCGTCCACCGCCGAACCCTACGGAGGAATCAGACCCCTGTTACACAGGTACACACAGCAGCAACTTTCCGTGTTGGCTGGAATTTTCACTCACATGAACTGTTTGTGCATCACAGTCAAAAACAAGTGGATTTGTGGGAAGTAAATGCTAGATAAGAAATTAGCTTTTCAAAGGGGGCTCTCCTGACTGTAGCTAGTTTTTATTGGAGTAGCATGTGTTGACAAAGCACTGTGCTAATCACGATCTCAGTATTCACATTATTTGATCCGCATAATGACCTAGGAGGCAAATACTGTTATTACCATCCCATTTTACAGATGGGTAAATGAAGAACCAGAAGAGTTAAGTGCTTGCCCAGAGCAACGCTGCTGGTGTGAAGTGCAGCCAAGACTTAAACCCAGGAAGCATGAATTTAGGAAAGTATCAGCATTATTTAGAAAATCATCTACGAAGACATCTTTGAGTGAATAGCCAAGAAAACAAAAGTTGTGCATGACTTAAATAGAATAAATATTAACTGTGTGCAGGAGAAGTAAATTTAATTGGTGTATCATAACCACAAAAAAACATAGCATTCTACTGAGCAATCACTTTTACTCAGCTCTTCTGTTTTCCTGCAGGCCTGTTTTTCCATTCTTGAGGATTTTCAGTTGGCGTGGTTCAGACCAGCAGACGCTGGGCCAGAACTCAGGAGAGCTGGACAGAAGCCCGCTCCGCTCTTAACCCCTGCTCCGCTTTGGTGCTCTAGCACCAGCCTCGCGTGCCGGCACATGGGACACAGAGGTCCCTCCCAGCAGTAGGCTGCTTCGGGCTCTGGATCCAAGCCAGCGCTGAGACCCCAGCCCCTCCCCTCGGAGGAGAGCAAAGCTCCTGAGCAGCTCAGCGCTGAAGGAAGCCAAGCAGCACCTCTCCAGAAGGATCTGGTGAAGTAGAAGCAGCCGTGCTCCTGGGAGGGAGGAGTGTGCCCCAGGAGCAGGGGCGGCTGTGCAGGCCCCTCGGGCCCCTCTGGAGTCTGGACTCCGCGGCATGCAACCTCTCCACAGACACGTCCGCGGGCCTGGTTGTTTTCCAGCCGCGCATTGCGAGGAGGCGGGCCACAGCGGGCTCCAGGCCGTGCCACCGACGCGGGCCTACTCAACCTCCCACCTCAGCTTTGTCACCTGCCGAATGAAGAACGGTCGTTTGAAGCGTCCACTGACAGGGTCACGGGGAGAACTGAGCTAAGTGAGTCCGTACTGTAAAAGGTGGGCGCAGCATGGCAGACGCAGGCGTTTGCTGAACGCCCTGCACGGCTGTCCCCTGGACCACTCTCTCCGTGACTTTCCAGCACAGTAGGGATGCCGTTATCCGGCTGCTCGAAGGGCTGAGGTCCCGAGGAAGCGCTCTAGGGAACTCAGAAGGACACCCGGCACTCAGTGAGCACCCGTAAGTGGTCTCAGTGTCAACAGTGGTGAGTGCATCCGGAATGCCCCCCGTGTCCCCTCGACCAGATGCGTGCTGTCCATCTCCTGCAGACACGGGGTGACGGCTGGCTCTGGCAAAGGTGGGCTCCCTCCAAAATGCACTTTTTCGAGGTCTGGAGGCCCAGCCTCCTGAGTGTCGACTTAACCAGAGTAACTCGAACTCTGTTACTAACAAAACCAAACCTCTGGTCCCCAAAAGAAGAGTGTCACCGGGTGTCGGCACTCTGGCCAAATGAGTGAGGGGATCACATCTGGTCTCACGGAGTCATGGCAGGACCAGGATTGGCCGGGACAGTCGCCCCACTTACTACATGCTGTGTCCCAGACAACACGCAGTACAGACACACAGACGCATGCTGTCCTCACCGGGCACTTGACTTCCACACACTCTCCGCGTGTTTACGGCTCTATTTTTTCCAAAGAAAGACTTTCAAAGACTTTCTGCAGCAGAATGCAATTACAACACATAAAGATCTTTTACAATTCTTTTATATCAGCAATCAAAGCAGCAATAACTTTCCTAAGTGAACTCTAGTTCCGTCTGGCAGGAGGGACAAGATCGCGTAGGAGCCCCCCCGCCCTGAGCCCCCCGCCCGGCCACACGGAAGCCTCCTGCAGGGACTCCCGGGCCGGACCTTCCTGTGCAGACTGGTCCCCACTTGCAACCACAGCTGGATTCCAGGGTCCTCACCCACTTGGTCCATTATCCATTGATAACACTCAGAGACACTTCTGAGCTATTAGTGATGTTTAGAGTCGGAGCCTCTATAATCTCTCTGATCGTGTTTTCACTCTCTCAGGAGGATTTTTCTGGAACGCCTCCCACATGGTGCCCCGTCCACGACAAACGCTACTGTGGGAGCTTCTTACCCTGTAGCTGAAAACACGAGCCTGTGCCCAGGCTTGCAGGCAGGTACACGCGTGAGCGTCTCGAGGACTGCCAGACAGGACGACCGCCAAGGAAGCTCCCCGCACGAGCCCTGCAGACAGAACGCTTCCCCGGGAGTGGCTCACGTCAGCTCTGCTCGCAGCGGGGAGACGGGGTCTCAGACGAGCCCCACCTCACGTTATCAATCTATGTGGCACTTTCTCCTTCTCCCTTCTCAGAAACCAAAACAGCCGTTTCCGAAAATTAAAGTACAATGCAATGACTTTTGAATAGTTGTATAAAGTTCTTACCTGGCACGTGAAGCAGCTGAGGCGAGGGCTGAGGCGGTGCTGGGGGCCGGGTCCAGAGGACCAGGTCTGCGGCGTGCAGGAGGCTCAGCCGTCCCTGCAGACGAGCTGGGGTCGGCACCTCACTGGCCGCCCGGCAGCAGCGGCTGCTTTATATGCTCTGCTCTCCTGGGTGGTGCTGTCAGTCAGACACGGGAGGAAGCACGTTTAATTCATCCTTCGAAGGAGTGACATAATCCCCCTCCGCTCTGCGCACCTGGCACACGGTGTTGGTACCGCCCCGCTCCGGCCGGCCCTCCAGCTGGGGACGGCAGAGGAGGAGCCTCTCAAGAGGGGGAGCAAGCACTCACTTTCCCTGTCTTCTCTCAGGAAATAAAATGCTATAAATACAACCAGCAAGATTGTCTGGAACTCCCCTTTTTGCGGAAGAGAAAATCGCAAGTTCCAGGGTTTTGAATAAGTTTCACATCAGCCAGACTGAGAAGGTCTTTCTAAACCAGATGAGTCACAATCATTAAGATGCAGAGCAATCTGCTGGTGGGAGGAGTCGATGTATGGATGAGCCTATTATATGGCTGAACTCATTTATCATGTGCAAAATAAATATTTGACTTAAGAAGAAGTCGGAAACTTTTATTTCTGCAGTTAGATGACTGAGAAAGAGGAGAGGGAGGATTTATTTCATCCAAATCCTGCACTGGGTGCTGTCTGGACCCCATGGGAGGCCTCCCCTGTGGGCACCCAGGACGGGGCCCCATCCCTCTGGCACTTGATCCCCAGTGGTACAGACAACCCATCATCAGCGTCCACGGGCTCACTTAGCGGGACAGTCTGCAGAATAAAGACTCAAGTATAATAATAGTAGCAAATGTCAGACACCCTGCCCCTCCTCAGAGCTCAACATCACCCACAGCAAGTGTGGACAGTGGTCAGAGGGAGGAGGTGGACAGAGGGAGGGGACAGACAGGGGGAGGAGGAGGTAGATAGAGGGAGGAGGTAGACAGATGGAAGAGGTAGATAGAAGGAGGAGGTAGACAGAGGGAGGAGGTAGACAGAGGGAGGAGGGTGTGGACAGAGGGAGGAGGGTGTGGACAGAGGGAGAAGGAGGTAGACAGACAGAGGAGGTAGACAGAGGGAGGAGGAGGTGGACAGAGGGAGGAGGAGGTAGACAGAGGGAGGAGGAGGTAGACAGACGGAGGTGGTGGACAGAGGGAAGGAGAGGTGGACAGAGGGAGGAGGAGGTGAACAGAGGGAGAAGGAGGTAGACAGAGGGAGGGGGAGGTGGACAGAGGGAGGAGGTAGAGGGAGGAGGAGATGGACAGAGGGAAGAGGAGGTGGACAGAGGGAGGAGGAGGTAGATAGAGGAGGTAGACAGATGGAAGACGTAGATAGAGGGAGGAGGTAGATAGAGGGAGGAAGTAGACAGAGGGAGGAGGGTGTGGACAGAGGGAGAAGGAGGTAGACAGATGGAGGAGGAGATGGACAGAGGGAAGAGGAGGTGGACAGAGGGAGGAGGAGGTAGATAGGGGGAGGAGGTAGACAGATGGAAGAGGTAGATAGAAGAAGGAGGTAGATAGAGGGAGGAGGTAGATAGAGGGAGGAGGTAGACAGAGGGAGGAGGGTGTGGACCAAGGGAGAAGGAGGTAGACAGACGGAGGAGGTGGACAGAGGGAGGAGGAGGTGAACAGAGGGAGAAGGAGGTAGACAGAGGGAGGGGGAGGTGGACAGAGGGAGGAGGAGGTAGACAGAGGGAGGAGGAGGTAGACAGAGGGAGGAGGTAGAGGGAGGAGGAGATGGACAGAGGGAAGAGGAGGTGGACAGAGGGAGGAGGAGGTAGATAGAGGGAAGAGGAGGTAGACAGAGGGAGGAGGTAGATAGAGGGAGGAGGTAGACAGAGGGAGGAGGGTGTGGACAGAGGGAGAAGGAGGTAGACAGACAGAGGAGGTGGACAGAGGGAGGAGGAGGTGGGCAGAGGGAGGGGGAGGTGGACAGAGGGAGGAGGTAGATAGAGGGAGGAGGTAGACAGAGGGAGGAGGGTGTGGACAGAGGGAGAAGGAGGTAGACAGACGGAGGAGGTGGACAGAGGGAGGAGGAGGTGGGCAGAGGGAGGAGATGAGGCAGCACCCGAGGCCAGGTGGACAGTGGACAGAAGTAGAGATGTGGGGTCGGCAGCACAGGCTGGTCCTGGGCTGAGGGCACTCATGCTAACAGGGCATCAATGTGCACAGCAATAGACAGGTCAAGTTTTCACTAAAGAATGTTAAAGAGAGTGTATGGAGTTAATTCTAAGCCACCATGGATGTATATTAACAAGGTAACATCATGAGGGACCCGATATTCACTTCACCTAGGTCCCTGTTGGGTTTAAGGAAGTCCGATTGGGGCCATAGAGGGGCCAAAGGACAGCTGTGACCCAGTTCCAGGAGATTCTGTGTGGTATTTGAAGACGGGACAGGTAGAGACGGGGATTGCAACTGTATGGATGATGATCCTTGCTCACTATGCATTGTTTTAAAGATTTTATTTATTTATTTGAGAAAAAAAGCAGAGTGAGAGAGGGGAACACAAGCAAGGGGAGGGGCAGAGGGAGAAGCAGGCTCCCCACTGACCAGGGAGCCCGACCCGGCACTCGATCCCAGGACCCTGGGATCACAAACTGAGCTGAAAGCCCACACTTAACCGACTGAGCCACCCAGGAGCCCTTCACTTTTTGAAAGTTTTTTTTACCTAATGCTACTCTTCATTTATCACCTGGTAGAGAATATTAATTTCTGATGTACAAAGAACATGTATGTGTTAAGATGACATATCTTCCTGTGGCCAGCTAGTTGGTAGTGAAGTCATCATTTGAATAAAAAATATCTAGACTACATCATAAATTAATGTTACCTGAAATTCCAAAGAAGAATGTATAACCAAGTTTCCCTTAAAGAATCCATAGTGGATAATTGGCCATTTACAGGTTTATCCTACTCTGCTTACTGATGGGTCATATCTGTGGCCAGAAAGTGCAGGTTTACACCCTTCAGTCCACTGTGTCAGCAGAAGGTGTTTTGAATGCACTTCTTCTTCTATTTGTTCACTTAGTGTTCAGAGGAGCCCCTGGCCACAGGGGACAGAGAAGAAATTTCTCCCTTGGCATCTTCCAAAGGGGATAATCAGGGAGGACTTCTTAAAGAGACAGAACATGAGCGGACTGATTGTGTAGGGCGGTGTCCCAGGAGAGGCACCAATGTGGGGAATTAACTGTGTGCAAGAGAAAAATGCGTTGGCACATCTAGTGCAGAGGCAGCTCAGAGGCGGAGCAGAATCTAGCTCCAGGTCCTGCGGATGTTTCCATAGGTGATGAAAGCCAGGGAGGTGCTTGGGGCAGGAAGAAGCAGGACTCCGTCATCCCACTGTGCGTGGAGGGGAGGACCCTGGCCAGCTTTCACAGGACAAAGGGGACTTGTGTTAATGAAGCCATGAAGCAAAGTTGGTGGCATGGCAGGACTGTCCAGGAGCTCTTGGAAGCCCCGCAGAGACTTGGGTAAAAATCAGTTTGGGAAAATGGGGAAAATGTGTGTCAAAGGGAAGTAGAGAGGAAGAACCAAAGCCGCCCACACGAGGCTGAATCATGTCTGCCTGGAAGCTGTGAGCGTGAACTTATTGGAAGTAGGGTCTTTGCAGATTTGGCCAAGCTGAGAAAAGGCCCTACTGAAGTAGGATAGGCCCTAGGCCAACGATTCATGTCCTTATAAAAAAAGGGCCATTGGGACCCAGAAGAGAACCATGTAAACACAAAGGCAGAGATGGAGCGATGTGGCCAAAGAGTGCCCAGGATTGCTGTGGGGTCAGAAGCAGCAGGAGGCTGGATGCGCAGCCATTTCCCACCTGGATCTGACCTCCGGCCCCTGGAAGGTGAGACAACACGTTTTGGTCATTAAGCCCCCCAGCATCTTGTGCTTCATGAAGGCAGCCCTAGGAAACCAATACAGATTCCTTGCCAGGTTCCAGAATCTTCCATCATGACAGTCACTATTTTCCAAGTGTCAGTGTGGTCCCATGGACCCCCCTGTCCAGTGGGCATCCTATGACAGATGGGTCTTCTGGTGTCTGTGGAGGGGAGCAGGCTGACATCTGATGAACAGTGTGGTGGGGACCGTGCAGGGCCCTCCTCCAGCCTTGGCCTGTAAACATGCCCATCCAGTGCCCGATGAACCTCCGGATGGGGCAGCAAGCAGACTCCCCACTGTGGTGAAGCCAGGATGGTTATTGCATCAGATGATGGAGCAAAAGATCTCAACGGGCTAAAAAATGGGTCGAATCTGACCATCAGAATTGTCAGAATGAGAGCTCACTAGTTCTCCGTGGACACTGGGTGGGGCCAGGCCCAAGTTTCTAGAACGCCCAACTTGGTGGGAAATCAACACGGATGAGGCAGGAGACACAGGGGAGGTGAAGAGAGGCAGGCTCTGGAGACAGAGCCTGACCTGGAGAAGCAGATGATGCAGAAGGAGCCATGAGGAGCCGGTGAGGTCTGAGCAGCCTGGCCCAGAATCCCACGCAGGTCCTCGGGCCCGGGAGCCCAGGAAGGAACAAGGGCAGAGGCCCCAGCGCAGGGCAGAAAACCAGCAGATTGAAGTGGCTTCACCTGGGTTAAGAGCTCTAGTCCCATCTGTGTCCTGAGTTTCACCCGTGAGGTGGGCGCTGGCTGGGAGGCGGATGGGGCTGGTTGCAAGTCAGAGGATTCACAGACCAGAGAGGGACACCTGACAGAGGGCCAGCCTCACCCAGGGGAGTGCAGAGCCCAGACCTCTCGGGAACAGTGGACAGGTGCACAGCTGCCCTGGAGCGAGCAGAAGCCAACAGATATCCCACTTAGTGGGCAGCCCCCGGCCACATCTGACAGGGCTGGGTGGGGGGTTAGTCCATGTGGCAGGCTGAGGTCCACGTGGCAGGAGGGGTGGGACTCAATGAAAGGCAGGGCTGGTCCTGGCAGGCTCATTGCTGTCGGCCCAGTACCTTAGGACAGGGTCTGGTGCATGTTAGATGCTCAATAAGTATCTTTGAACAACTGGACTCACAGATAAACAAAGTGGCCTTGAGTGTCCTTTCCACGCGAAAAGTAGGAGTGGGCGTGGTTCTAATGGAATCGGAGGGAGGGGACGGCCCAGCACTGGCGGGCTTCCAGGCCAGCCGGGAAAGGACCTTGGGTCCCTGTGGGAAGCTGGGGGTCTGGGGGCGAGGGCTGGGGGGGACCACTTGGCCTTCCTGTGCTGGTTCTGGGGATCCAGGGGGGAGTGAGGAGGGCACAGGGCAGCCAGGTCTCTGTGACACGTGGGGCTGGGGGCTGCTCACATCGTGAGATGTCACAGATCCAGGCATCTGTTTTCTCTTAGTCCCTCCTTGGGCCGTGAGTAAGCAGAGGGCTTTCCTGCCCTCCCTAGGGGAGACAGTTATGGGAAGCAGGAGGAACAACAGTGTGTGGGTCCTGTGTGAGT